TTTTAAATATTTTTTTTTTATAGATACAAGAAAAATGCATAAATATAGAAAACAAATTAATAAAAATTTTTAAATATATAAAATATGATATCGAATCGAGATTGTCCGCTCTGAAATCTGATTCTAATATCAGTTATTTGTCATCCAATCAGTATTATCCATTTTATAATAAAAGTAATAACTTAGAAAATACCTTAAGAGGTAAAGTAAAAGTATAATTATCATTGATTATTGATTATTTAATTAATATTTGTGAATTTCAAAAAATCATTTCAAAAAAGTTAAATATTCGTGATTTAAAAAAAAATTATTTGTTTCATTTAAAACATTATAAAATTGTTTATTGTTTACTGCTTAACGCTTTCTTTTCTTTTTTTTTTCTTTGAATGATTAAATAATTTTTAGAAAAAACATTGGAAAATGATATATTATCAAGTATTTATATGATGCAGCATAGTTTACTTAAAATTGATGCATTTCAAGTAAACAAATTAAAAATTTATTTAATTTTTTATTGCCCTATATCACTAATAAACAATGATATGTTTGATTTTGATAAATTTTAAAATTTATTTTTAAAAAATTTTCATATTTTGTTTATTGATTTATTTGTTTGTTTGCTTTTATTTCAGAAACGAAAAATGGGATTGAATAAATATTGTTCAACGATACGTTTACTCATTTATGATAGAGTTAAAATTAAAAAACAATTATTGAATGTTAAATATGCAAGAAAAAAACTTGCAAATATTAAACAAAAAATTCAAAATTCAAATTTGATAAAACAACAATCGGTTAAAATTTCCCTTAGTTAAAATTTAAATTTAGCCATTTTGAATTTAAACAAATGTTAATAGATTTTGATTAATTAATAAATTAAATATTCTACAAAGCAATTTTTTTTTTTTAAACTTTATATTAAATAATTTTCAGTAATTTTTTTTTCAAAACATTATTTTTATTAGACTAAATGTGCAAAAGTAAAAATTTTTATTTTTTTTAAAATTCGTAAATTTAAGTGATTTGAAGGACAAATTTTAAATTAATTTTAAATTAGCATTTTAAATTAATTTATTTAGCTGAATAAATGCATAGCAATGTTGGATAATATATTGGCAGCAATGCAATTTATAATAATTGAAATTGACAAACAATTTGATTCAATTTATTCGGTTAATCGATACATTGCATTGTTTAATGAGTTGTACCAGCAGTTTCAGCACAATTACCAGGTATCCCATTCAAATTAAATTAAATTGAAATTAGAAATAATTGAAATTGAAATTAAATTAAATTAAATTAAACTACACAATCACCAGGTATCCCACGTAATTGAAATTGAAATTAAATTAAAATCGTTGAGTTATTTTTAATCTTTTAAAATGGAATTTATTTAAAAAGAAAGCAGAAAAGTAATCGATGAATAAAAAAAGAGAAAAAAAGAAAAAAAAAATTTTTTTTTTGATAAGTTAGATATTATTTGAAATGATAAAAGATTAGTGCAAATATCAAAGGTTTGAATTTTGATAAAATGCTAAAAAGATAATTTGATAATCTGGTAAAAAAAACTAATAATGTTTAAAAAAATCTCTAATCATTGCACTGATAATAATTGATAATTTTAAATTTATCAAAATCATTTTTTGAAAGATTTTTTTACATCAATTATTTTTTCTATTATCACTAAGAAATTTTTAATTTGTGATAAAAAAATGTTTTTTTGCAGAAATTTTTTTCGCAACAAAATTGGATATTTGATGAATGAAAATAAACAATAAACAATAATTTCATTTTTTTAATTTCTTTCGAATCGCTTATTTTCTTTTTTAATCTTAATAAATTTAATAAATATATTTTTATAAAATTTTAATAAAACAATTAAAAAAAGGAAAGTATTGCTATTATTGTTTATTTTTCATTTATTTTCATCAATTGTTTATGATTTATTCAAATTTGTTTACTTTTATTTTATGAAAAAAAAAAAAAGAAAAACGAGAAATTTTAAGTTTTTTCAAATTTTAACTGTATAATAAAGTTTTTTTTTTTGTTTCGGAACTTTCACTTTAAAAAAAAAAAAGAAAAGTAAAAAAAAAAAGTTTTACATTGCAAATAAATTAATTACAAAAATAGGATTTATTGTTTTTTCAAACATCAACAAAGAAATTAAACTAATTAATTAATAAAAAAAAATATACAAATGATAATTTGTTGTGATAAATATTTATTTATTTTTTATTTATTGTTTTTTCAAACATCAACAAAGAAATTAGACTAATTAATTAATTAATTAATAAAAAAATATGCAAATGATAATTTGTTGTGATAAATATTTATTTATTGTCTTTCCAAACATTAACAAAGAAATTAGACTAATTAATTAATTAATAAAAAAATATGTAAATGATAATTTGTTGTCATTAACAAAGAAATTAGATTAATTTCCAAAAAAAACAAACATTAACAAAGAAAAAATTAGCTTAACAAAGAAATTAGATTACAGAATGTCATAAATTCAATCGTTTGCTCCTCGAACTGCTTTGCACAGTTGTTTCGCATATCCTTAAATAATTAAAAATTGAAATTTTTCACTCATTTCGTGCACTAAATTAAACTGAACTATATTTTTATTACACATGTTGATTTCACCTTTCCAACTTTTTTCTTCACTTTTTATGCAAACTAAATCTTTTACTGTAAATTCACCCGTATGATGGATAAATACTTCTGTCTCCCATTTTTTTTTGCTTTCTTTAAAGTACTAATTTTCTCATCAACTTTCAACGACTTTCTCATTAACAGATTATGAGTAAACAAGCTTTGGAACAACTTCAACTTATATTGATCAATACCACATAGTAAACGAAATGCTTACTTCAGTATTTAACCGTTCTTTTCCACTGCGAGTTGCTTCCAATTACTTTCGATAATTTTTCCTCCGAATTACCAGACCACTGTGGAACTCTTAACACATACAAGTTTGCAAGCAATAAACAGTCGCCCGGCACAAACACCCATACACCATAGTGCTATGTTGTTGATACAGTAATACATCTGCTCATATATATTACTATGGTGGATCTCTGATTATGAATCTGAGTGGATCACATCACAGTTAGCAAAGAAATAAATGAATGACATATATACATGTGCTTGTTAGAGTTATCGATTCATTTTCTGTGCTGAATTTTGCAGATTGGTTATGAATAACTAAGTTAAAACTGTCCACAATAAAAATATCTCAAAATTATTAACTTTGTTACTATCAGAAATTAGTTGCAATGTTAATATTAGTGTTCGACGCATAAATGAAAATTAAGAATTTTCAATTTTAATTAAACTTAAAAATATAAGAAATAGTTCATTTATTGGTAATGTTCACTTCTTGGACGGTTAGTATAACACTGAGAAGAGACAGTTATCAGTTGATCTAATCATTGTTTATTTCTCTTTTTTTGAGTAAAAATTAAAAAATGAGACCTGGTGGTGGTGCAATGAAAAAATTTGGTGGGAAAAGACGAATGAGATTTAAGCATAATAAAGTTGTTAAACGAAAAGTTTTGAAACCACCGAAGAAAAAAGGAATGATCAAAGGAAAGAGTAAATTTAGACAGAAGAAAAATAAAGAAAGGATGAAGAAAAGATCGTCAGAAAAAAGTAAGATGAATAGACGAATGAATTGGATCAATTTATGATCATTTTTTAATCAATTGAATTAATTGTGGAGCTAAATATATATATTTAGAATAGGTAAAGTATGTGTTGGATAGGTAAAATCAATACTGATTAAGTATAAATTAAGGATTTCAAGTTATAAATTAACTTATAAATAACAAATTAATGAAATCTAGAAGAGAAATAAGCTTAATGAACGAATGAGTGGTAAGCTGGAGATAATGAATTTGTCTATAATTCACTGGTGATAAACTGAATAATTGATAAAATTGAATGATAAATTGAATAATTGATAAAACTGAAACTCCAGCTTTTCAGATATTTCGGCTAAAGCTGTGCCATTTTAGCAAAATAAGTAATAACAAGAGAGGGGAGAAATTAAAGTCAGTTTTATAATTCCTTTGCATTGAATTCGGAGCTGCTTTCTAATAATATTTTTAAATGACAGAGAAGAAAAGGACGAAAGAGAAGAAAGAGAAATTGGAGGGAGAAGAAAAGAAAAAAGAGAAGGAAAAACAAGGAGAAGAAGAAGAAGAGAAGGAAAAATCAGTGAAAAAAGAAAAGGAAAATGGAAAAGGAGAGGAAAAATCGAGGACAGGAAAAGAGCAAGAGTCAGAGAAAAAAGAAAAAGAAAAAGAACAGAAATTTGAGAGAGAAACGAGAGAAGCAATAAAATCAGAAGGTTAACTGATAAAATTTAATTTAAGAAAAAAAAGTACTGTAAAATATCTTTTTCCTATTAAATTAACTAATGAATTTTACAATATGCAAAGATTTGGCATTAATTTATCATTCGGAACAAATATTATTTTCATTGAAATAATTTACTGATCGATTTCCTTTCTCAATTTTTTATTAATTCACAAATACAAATGGTTTTTTTTCCAGTAATTAAAAGATTCTATTTAATAAAAATATAATTATTACTTCTTTAGTAGTAGTTTGATTTGAAATGGAATAATCGTAATTTACATATAAGTCATTTTAATAATTTTTTATTTTCAAAAAAAAAAAAACTTATGAAATGAGAAAGTGAGAAGGAAGTAAGTGGTTGGCTTGTTATGTTTTGATTTATGAGATTTAAACTTTTTTTTTTATTTATTTATGATTTATGAGATTTAAATTTCTTTTTATTTATTTTATCATTTATGGGATTTAAATTCTTAACCTCGTACTCTGGTAAATTTCTCTTTTTCTGGCTTCGTTCCTTATTGAATTGCTAGTAATTTTAATTAATTGATAGTTGAATTTCTCTTTTTAACTAGTTAACAGTCATGATTACCTTTAATTAGTTTTTAAATCTCATAAATCAGCTTTGTCCAGGTGAAATGCAAAAGTTGAAAATGAAGAATGAAATGGAAGCAATTTCAAAAATGAAAAATAAAGTTGGAGTAGAAGAGCTGAAAGAAGATGGCGCTAAATTTAGGGTATGCAAAATTTATTTGACAATTTAACTTGCCGATTTAAATACGATAGTCATTCTGCTAATTTGTTGATTATCATATCATATCATATCACGAAGATATCACGTTGAATTGGTAATTTTATAAAATAATTTTGTTTCATTTCATTTCATTTTAAATAAATTTATATTAGTGAGAGTTATTTAAACGAGTTAATAAGCATAGACTTGTTGAAATTGATGAGTATGCATCAGAGCTTATTTTTAATTTTTTCATTTTTAAACTCATTTTTAAGCTTGGACGATTTGGTGCCCAGTTTTTTGCCCCAGTAACAAATGAGCCAAGTGATATTTCAAGTGCTGGTGATGATGATGACGATGATGGTGATGAAGAAGTGGAATCAGAGGATTCTGAAGATGAGAAATAAAACAAAAAATATTGTTTATTGTTTGTAAATTTTGCTTTTTGTTGTTCTTTTTAATGAAAGCCAGAAAAATGTTTATTAAATTAAATAAGATGAATTTCTCATATTACAATTAATTTGAGTAGTGCTATATGGCCTTAGGCTTTTAAGATGAATGATTAAATGTATAGCTTGGCCTTAAAATAACTTTAATGTTGAAGTGGAAAAATCTAATCTCGAAATACTGAATGAGTCTGATTGTTTAATCAGATTCATTAATCTTTTAGATTATGATCAAATACTTTCTCTGTGTTATCATCTGATGTCAATCATTTGTGATATGATAATATATTTATGGAATATATGGGATAGACAAATTTTATTGGTGCAAAAAACTTTGAATTTCAATCCATCAATTCATGGATTTAAAAAAGGAAAAAAAAAAAGATTTACAAAATGTTTGATAAGCAACAATTCTTGATGCTTTCCAACTATTAGAAAATATTATTTTAAGGATATCGGATGAGTGACCGTTTTGACCATTTTGTGGACATTGGGTCTACTGCTAATTTGCTCTAGCCGTTTTTCAAATTTCTTTTTGTGTCTTTTTTAAGATCATAAATATCCAATTCAACAATAGATGGAGCTACAATTCTCTGAATTCCACATGATGATTTGCAGTGTCCACCAGGTTCACCACGTTCACCAGGTGGTCCAACTGGTTCATTAGGTTCCGGTTCATCTCGTTTACCTGGTGGTCCGGTTGGTCCCTTGAAAGTCAAACATAGAAAATATTGAATTACAGAAAGGTATGTAAGAAAAGAAAATGTTTTTCATTTAAATTTAAATTAATTATAAACCTAAAATGAAGTATAGAATAAATGGCTTCTTAGTATTATAAAAGGGTTTAATTCAAATATTTTACAATTTTTAATGCAGTTACAATACTTAGGAAAAAATGAAATGTGCCAAGCAACCATTTCACCAGGAGGTGCTGGTGGCCCGAAATTGCTAGATGGAATCCTATCTGGTCCTAGTGAACCTTTGGATCCACAAAGCCCTTGTGATCTTGGTGGACCGAAATTACTAGATGGAATCCTATCTGGTCCTAGTGAACCTTTGGATCCACAAAGCCCTTGTGATCTTGGTGGACCGAAATTACTAGATGGAATCCTATCTGGTCCTAGTGAACCTTTGGGTCCACAAAGCCCTTGTGATCTTGGTGGACCGAAATTACTAGATGGAATCCTATCTGGTCCTAGTGAACCTTTGGATCCACAAAGCCCTTGTGATCTTGGTGGACCGAAATTACTAGATGGAATCCTATCTGGTCCTAGTGAACCTTTGGATCCACAAAGCCCTTGTGATCTTGGTGGCCCAAAATTACTAGATGGAATCCTATCTGGTCCTAGTGAACCTTTGGGTCCACAAAGCCCTTGTGATCTTGGTGGCCCAAAATTACTAGATGGAATCCTATCTGGTCCTAGTGAACCTTTGGATCCACAAAGCCCTTGTGATCTTGGTGGCCCGAAATTACTAGATGGAATCCTATTTGGTCCTAGTGAACCTTTGGGTACACAAAGCCCTTGTGATCTTGGTAGCCCGAAATTACTAGGTGGAATCCTATCTGGTCCTGGTGAACCTTTGGATCCACGAGATCCTTGTGATCCTGGTAGACCTTTGATTCCTCTTCCACGATTGTATCATCACCAGGTAGATTCATAATATATAAGTAATAACTTAATGACTTTACTTTACTTTTTTTTTTCTAATTTACAAATATGCATTATACTGTTCGGTAGTGCACCGATCTCTTCGTACTATTTATTTTCCACTACGATTTTTATTTCTTTGTGATTCTTATTGTTTAATTGTGCCAGCAAAAATTTCTTTCTAACTTTTTATTAATTTGCATTTTATTTAATTTCATTCCAACATTATCACTGAATTGATTATAATCCAATCGCAGTATTTTATAGTTAAGTAAACTAAGTATAAGATAAAAAAAAAATTAAAACTAAATCTTTGTACTTTCAGATAACAATCAAGTTACTTTTTATTTTTTTTTAGAGCAGAATGAAATGTACTTTAATACTAAGCTCACTTTCCTCATCAGAAGGGTCCAGGTGGTCCGGAATCGCCTATCCTACCTCCTTTACCTGGTTTTCCAGGTATGCCGTGATGATCTGGTTCACCAGGTATTCTGGTTTTCCTTCTTGTCCTCTATTTCCTGGTGGTCCTGTAGGATAAATCATGCTTGAAATTTTTTTAATTTGATGCACTACATTTTGCAACATAGTAGATAAAATCAAAAAAAAAAATGATTTAAATGATTTATTTAAATATTAAATATTAAAAAAATTAAGTTATAAAAAATTCTTGTATGAACCAAATTCTGGTTCCAATGAAATATCTAAATTTGCATTTTCCCTAAATTTATCATTTAATTCTTAATTTATTTCTAATAGATTTACTATGACTAGATGGGAGCTTAGAATTGTTGTCATAAAATGGATTATAAATAATAATAATAATAATAATAATGCATTGATTATTAGTTAAATTCTCTTAGCATACATTAATTATTTAAAAATTTTTGTTTGAAACCTTTCAGTATTAGAAGTGTTTTTTGAACATATAAGCAAAATTTTAATTTTTTTTTAAGAAGAAATTGAACAATTATAAAACTTTATGCAAATTTGAAATTTGATATTTAAATAAATTAAAAAAAAAGTTTTATGGTTATTTTGTTTAACTATTACAATAGGAGACGGTAATTTGTGTCTTTACCATATGAAATAAGCAAAAGGTTTAATTAAATGTTATTAGCAAAAAATTTTTGAAAAATTGAATAAAAAATGAAGAAATAATATTGCTATTACAATTATAATAGGAAATTTGATAATTGATTATCTATATTTGGAACTTATAATAGGAAATTTGATTATTGATTATTTATATTTGGAACTTATAATAGGAAATTTGATTATTGATTATCTATATTTGGAACTTATAATAGGAAATTTGATTATTGATTATCAATATTTGGAACTTATAATAGGAAATTTGATTATGGATTATCTATATTTGGAACTTATAATAGGAAATTTGATTATTGATTATCAATATTTGGAACTTATAATAGGAAATTTGATTATGGATTATCTATATTTGGAACTTATAATAGGAAATTTGATTATTGATTATTTATATTTGGAACTTATAATAGGAAATTTGATTATTGATTATCAATATTTGGAACTTATAATAGGAAATTTGATTATGGATTATCTATATTTGGAACTTATAATAGGAAATTTGATTATTGATTATCAATATTTGGAACTTATAATAGGAAATTTGATTATGGATTATCTATATTTGGAACTTATAATAGGAAATTTGATTATTGATTATTTATATTTGGAACTTATAATAGGAAATTTGATTATTGATTATCAATATTTGGAACTTATAACAGGGAATTTGATTATTGATTATCACTAAAACTTTATAATTGTCACCAGATACTACTATAATATTTGGAACTTATATAAGAAATTGTAATAGGAAATTTGATTATTGATTATCACTAAAGTTTTATAATTGTCACCAAATATTATTATAATATTTAAAACTGAGAAATTGTCACCAAAACAAGAAGAAAAAGGAAGGAAAAAAAAGAAAAAATTTTTTCAGTAATATAATCATTGGAATTGATACCACTTCAAAAATAGTACCATATTTTCTGCTCATATTCCGTGCCTTTCCGGATAACAGGACTAAAATATTCCGGTTATGCAGAAACAGGTCAAAAGGCAACAACACGTTGATGAATTACTTCCATCAGTGATACAACAGGAAGATCCAACAAACGATTCACTGTCACCGTTGTCATCTGCTCGTTGCACTGATCAATATCAAAGTGATAAACTGTTAGCTGTAAGTGTTAATGTGTTAACTTTCGAGAAGTACTAGTGATAAGGAAGCAATTTAAATATGCTATTTTAAAATGACTGATAAGCAAACTATCAGCTTATCATACAGAACTAAATTAGAAATAATAATGATAAGTTGAATTTTTTTTTTTCTTTTAATTTCTTCATTTGTTAAAATAATCAGTGCAATTAGTGATATATGATAGTTACAGTATGTTAATAATTCTTCAAAATAACTTTGCAGAATTATTCTCTTCAACAAAAGCATACTTTTAAAGCGTTGATGGCGTAATCTGACGTAAAAAAAAACGTAATCTGACGTAAAAAAAAAAAAACTATGAATGAGAAATTTTTGTATAATAAGAAAAAATTTTTAAAACAAAAACAAGAAAAAAAACTAGCCATTTTAAATTAAATAAATTAAAAAAATTATCATATAAAATACTTTAACTGTTGTAGGAGATTCGTAATGGAGTACAATTGCGCCACGTAATACCAAATGATCATAAACAATGCGCTAAAATGCTTTATGATAAAGCATGCGAGAAAAAAGTAATCATTTTGATAAATTTGTTTAAATTTTTTTTTTTTCAAAAAAATATAAATAATTTCAATTTGTATTTTTTTTTTATGTTTTCTCTCTTTTCATATTGTTATTTATCTATATATTACTTTTATAAATTATTTTAAAAAAAATTTTTTTTCTATTTTAAAAATATTTTGTATATATTTATGAGTTATATAGGAAGAAAATAATATAAATGAAAAAGAAACAAAATTAGAAACGGAAAAAGCAATTAATATTGGAAATATCTTACTTAATGCTATGCATAAGCGACGACTTCTAATGCATTCTGGTTAATTAACTAATTAATTAATTAATTAATTTGCTTTATAAATAATAGAATGAATTGAAATGACATTTTATTTATGAAATACAAATAATTTCATTTCAAAATTTTGCAAAAACAACAATGGAAATTTTTGGAGAAAACATGTAGAAAATAATTAATCTAAATTAAAGAAATAAATAAATAATTTTATTTTTATTTTAATTATACCTTTAATCAATAATGTTTTTCAATAAGTAAATAAAGAAATTTTTATTTTAGAATCTTCCTCAAGTAGTGACGAGAATATCAATGAGCAGAAATTGGAATTGTGGAGTGATACTGACGATAATTATGATGATAATAATGATAATGATAATAATTACAATGATATTAATATTAATAAGTCAATGAACAAAACACAAATGTAAATCAAAAAAGAAATTTACAAAATTAATTAAACAATTTAATTTAATTTTAGGCAAATTTCTATACTGCTAACATTCTGATTGAAAAAGATTAATGCAAACAAAAAAAATGTTAAAGTTACCAAGCTGTCACCAATTTGTCACCAAACATTAATTTGATGATTATTTCTTCTACTAATAACATTAATTTAAATTTAATTTAAATTTTCAAAACATCCAATAATACTTAACTAGGTATATATATACTAAAGTATAAATAAAATATACACGAATAATTGTATTTTTTATTTTGATTGTATATTTTGATCAGACAAATTTGAATCCATAAATCATTCTGTACTGCATTTTCTCATAACACTTTGCTAAAAAAAATATGCATTTTAATTTTTGTTAATTTTATAAATTCTTAGACATATTTAAATTAATATTTTTATTATTAAATTATTAGACGAACTCGAATTGTTTTAAAAATCAAATTTTAATTCTAACTTTTTTAAAAAATAATCAAATTTCAATTTTAGACAAACTTTTTTTTTTTGTAAGTAAAAAGAAAGATAAAGAAGAAAGATGAGGACAATACTTTAACAGATTTCAAATCTCGAAAATATTTTGCACATCGAACGATAACAATCATAAACCAACAGTAGATCAATGCTATGATGGATACATTTACTGTTGTAAAGATTGACAGAGTAATAAAAACTGTAATCTTTTTATTTTTATCAAATCATTTTAATTAAATTAATTGTTTAAAACTGTTTAAAACTTTTTGATTCAAAAAAATTCATCCAAGAAATTTGTTTCAAAAAATTTCAATTTAAATGCTCTATAATAAATTATATTTTAAAGAACATTTTCTTTCTAAATCAAATTTTCAAACATTAAATCTAATTAAATTAATTATTTAAAATTGATTTTTCATTTTCTTTTTTTTTTTTGATTCACAAAAATTCAAAAATTTGATTCAAAAAATTTCAATTTAAATGTTCTATAATAAATTATATTTTAAAGAAACATTTTCCTTTTGCATCAAAGTTGCGAATATTAAATCTAATTAAATTAATTGTTTAAAACCGATTTTTCATTTTTTTTTTTTTGATTTAAAAAAATTTCAATTTTAATGCTCTATAATAAATTATATTTTAAAGAAGCATTTTCATTCTACATCAAAATTTTTAAATATTAAACGTTACTTCACAGAGAATTTTTTATATTATCACAAATATTTTTTCAGATTTTTACATATTATCGGGAATTTTTAAAAAATAAAAAAAAAAAAAAACGAATTCTGCAGAATAAATTTACTTTTTTTCTATTAAAATACATATAATGATATGAATGATATGAAGAAATGTAATATCTGTTAGCATTGATTGATCATTTAAATATAAATTTAAAAATAAAAATATAAATTTAAATGTAAAAAAAAATTTAAATATAATAATCAGTACTATTATTACTTTTTATGCCACACGCAGGTGAAAAAATTTTTGTAACAAATCTGATAAGAAATTAATTATATCTCATAAGGTTATTATTATTATCTGATAAGAAACTAACCATATGTGATAAGATTATTATTATTATCTGATAAGAAACTAACCATATGTGATAAGATTATTATTATTATCTGATAAGAAACTAATCATATGTGATAAGATTATTATTATTATCTGATAAGAAACTAACCATATGTGATAAGATTATTATTATTATCCGATAAGAAACTAACCATATGTGATAAGGTCATTATTATCATATGATAAGAAACTAACCATATGTGATAAGATTATTATTATTATCTGATAAGAAACTAATCATATGTGATAAGGTTAGTAAGGTTATTAATAACTAATTTAAGTTAAAATTTAAACTATATATTTTGTATCATTCACGAGATTAACCTTTAATTCATAGATAGGTATTAGCATTATCACTAATTTATGTTTGACTTACTTTTGATCACTCTTTAGTCTTTATCACTATCACTATCACATGATATGATATTATGATAAATAGTTGAAATTAAGATAAGCTTACTTTTGATCACTCTTTACTCTTTATCACTATCACTATCACATGATATGATATTATGATAAATAGTTGAAATTAAGATAAACTTACTTTTGATCACTCTTTAGTCTTTATCACTATCACTATCACATGATATGATATTATGATAAATAGTTGAAATTAAGATAAACTTACTTTTGATCACTCTTTAGTCTTTATCACTATCACTATCACATGATATGATATTATGATAAATAGTTGAAATTAAGATAAACTTACTTTTGATCACTCTTTAGTCTTTATCACTATCACTATCACATGATATGATATTATGATAAATAGTTGAAATTAAGATAAGCTTACTTTTGATCACTCTTTAGTCTTTATCACTAATCATATCATATCATGATAAATAACTGAAATTAAGATATGTACCATTTTTCTGAGGTATAGATATTATTGATGCAATACGTTGCATTCGATCACTTATCGCTAATTCCACGTATTCTGCAGCGTACGAGTGTGAATCATAAATAGCACTGATAAAGAAAAATGATAATAATATAAGAAATGAAATTGTCAGTATCTAGAAAAAAAAAACATTTGGAAGATATTTGTTTCATATACCTTCATTTTATTATTAATTTACAAATTCAAATATTAAAAAAAAAAATTTTACATTTCTTTTAATTTTACAAATTTCATTCCATTTTTTTCTTATACTAAAAAGAAAAATAATTTTTATTAATTTAATATTTTAATTTAATTAAAATATTATTAATTTAATAAAACATAAAATTTTATGTTTTATTTAAAAAAAATTTGTCATTTAATTCTAAAAATGCATTTTTTTTCTTTTTTTTTTTAATACATTAAAACCATAAATGGTTGTAACAGTGCTGCTTTCTCGACAATAATTCCGTAAAATAATGATAAAACAACAGATAGTATCAGTTATTCCCAATTCCATCCAATATTTGACAATGCAAATGCTTTTAGGATCAAATTGTTGATGATCAAAAACGATGAAATTATTGCAATTGCAAATGCACCCTGCTGAGAAATATTTATCATCGTTTATTATCAATATATTTATCATTGTTACTAGCATTATCATTATTATTTATCATTGTTATTATTATTATTTATCATTGTTACTAGTATTATCATTATTATTTATAATTGCTACTAGTATTATCACTATTATTTATCACTGTTATTATTATTGTCATTATTATTTATCATTACTATTATTATTATTATTATTATTATTATTATTATTATTATTATTATTATTTATCATTGTTACTAGTATTATCACTATTATTTATAATTGCTACTAGTATTATCACTATTATTTATCACTGTTATTATTATTGTCATTATTATTTATCATTACTATTATTATTATTATTATTATTATTATTATTATTATTATTATTATTATTATTATTATTTATCATTGTTACTAGTATTATCACTATTATTTATAATTGTTACTAGTATTATCACTATTATTTATCACTGTTATTCTTATTGCCATTATTATTTATCATTATTATTATTATTATTATTATTATTATTATTATTATTATTATTATTATTATTATTTATCATTGTTACTAGTATTATCACTATTATTTATAATTGCTATTAGTGTTATCACTATTATTTATCACTGTTATTATTATTGTCATTATTATTTATCATTGTTGCTAGTATTATCATTATTATTCATCATTGTTATTATTATTATTATTATTATTATTATTATTATTATTATTATTATTATTTGTCATTGTTACCAGTATTATCATTGTCATTTATAATTACTGGTATTATCACTATTATTTATCACTGTTATTATTATTGTCATTATTATTAATCATTGTTATTATTATCATTATTATTTATCATTGTTATTATTATTATTTATCATTGTTACTAGTATTATCATATATTATTATGGTTATAAACTATAATTGTTGCTAATTTATAATATGTTCAAAAGTTATTGTATTCATCTTTGCATTAAATCTCATTTTTTCATGTTCAAAAGAGATTTTAATTCCTTTTTTTTTAAAAAAAAAAATTTGATAGAAATGCATTTACTTTAATATGAACAGAATAGCAACAACATCGATATTTGATATTGTTATGATTAAATGGAACATTTTGTGATATAACTTTAAATATTTGATAGCAATTTATTCGTTTACTTCTTTTGTTCTCCTGAAAAAAAATACTGAACAATCATAGATTGATTTAAAGAATATTAAAATTTGAAGAAATTATTTACGATAAAATAAAGAAAAGAATTTAAGAAAGGGAAGAAGTATCTCTCAAAAAGTCTTAAATAAGTATTAAAAAAAGCAGTAATATCTCTTTGAATGAAAAAAATATTTAATGCTAATGCAAAAATTAATCGAAATAATTCAAATTCTTAGCAAATTTTTCTTTAATTTAACGAATTTGGATTTAATTTTAAAAACTTTTTTAATACAATTTTTTTACTTTTACTATTAAATTACTAGCAAACTTGTATTCAACACATATAAATAATTTCAATGTTTATTAAGAGAATTGCCGATATTAAGATTTAAATTTTTAGATATTAAAAAGTCAAATGTAAAAAAAAAAATAACAAATTTACTTGGAATTGTTTTCTTATTGATATTAATCAATTAATCATAGAAAAAATGAACGGAAATAATCAATTTTTAAATTAAAACTAATATTATTTAATTGCAAATTAACAGTAACTAATTGCAATTTCCTTTTATAAATAAAAATTTGGAAAAAGTTGAAAAAAAGTATAATAAATTTGTTGAAAGCTTGCCATTAGTGCTAGTACCTAACTTCGCTCTTCCTTTGCTTTAGGTATTTTTTTGCGCAATAATTGGTAGAATACTTTGGCCAGTTCTCTTTGCTTGTATGCCTTGGCCAACTCTCTTTGCTAGTATGCCTTGGCCAGTTCTCTTTGCTTGCATGCCTTGGCCAATGCCTTGGCCAGTTCTCTTTGCTTGCATGCCTTGGCCAGTTCTCTTTGCTTGTATGCCTTGGCCAGTTCTCTTTGCTTGTATGCCTTGGCCAGTTCTCTTTGCTTGCATGCCTTGGCCAGTTCTCTTTGCCTGCATGCCTTGGCCAACTCTCTTTGCTTTTAGGTATATTCTGTGGTGTATTTTTTGATGCTAAGGCAATCCTAATTGAACATCATAACTAATGTAAGTGATAATGCGCAAAAGTCATGTTAGAAAAGTGTGGGACAAAGTAACCCACTAAAAGTAAAGGTAGCTTTTACAGAAGGGAAAATAAGTAAATAAACTTTGATAACATGAGGGAAAAAGATACTGAGATATGTAGAGTTTACCCTAAACTTAGTATATATTCTCTCCAAAAGTAAACGATTCTGCACCTACCTGGAAATTTTATTTTATACCATTTTTTTTATACAGAAGAAAGCATTTTATACTAGACAAATCCCTTGTCCTGGATTTTTGGGTAGGATTTTCCATAATTCCCCGGCAAGAAGAGTAAGCACAGAAGATATACTAAGTTTAAGGTAAACTCTCTTTAAGAGAAAAAAAAAGACCTGGAAAATAGAGTAGATTACAATCTACTCTTAAGTTATATCATTTAAGATAAGTTCTTGGGTAGATCAACAGCTCTGCATCTACTTGGAAAATTTCTCCAAAGTACTCTTTGTTAGAATGGATGATATGCTTTTTTTTTTTTTTTTCTCGCATGATTCCGACTTTAAAATTTTTATTAAGATTAAGTTTTCTATATTGATATTATTCCAGCGTGATATGAGTAATATTTACCATAAGCGAATGAACTAAACTAATAATTGTCGAATATTTGATTTAAAAAAAATTTAAACATAATTTAAATTTAAGAATGAATCACTATTACACGCAATTACTTTATTAATTTACAATGACTATAAAAATTTAGATGTGGTACTACATGATACTTATTATGTTGTAGCTCATTTTCATTATACTTTGAGCCTAGGGGCTGTTTACGGAATTTTTTGTGGATTTTGTCTATGGCTACCTTATATATATGGCATTTCTTTTGACGGTTCATTGATGATTGCTATTTTTTTTTGTTTTTTTATTGGTACTAATATGACTTTTTTTCCTATGCATTTTGCCGGTATACAGGGAATACCTCGTAAGGTCCTAGATTATCCAGATTGTTATTCTATATTTCAAGTTTTTTCTTCATTAGGTTCTGTTATTACTTTTATTGGGTTTATATTGTTTAATTATTTAATGATTGATTCTATTTTTTTTTCTCGTTTTTTAGGTATTTCTTTTTATAATGGGCATAGTCCTTCTTATATTTCTAATGTCCCTCCTTTGCCTGACTCTTTTTTGGAGGAGATTTTAGGTTTTGGTTTATGCTGAAAGGTTTTTGGTAAAAATACCCCTAGTTATAGATATCAATTATAAAAATTTATGATTGAAACAGGAATGTATTGTAAACAGTAAACAGTACGGTTAGTTTGAGTTTAGTATTACGGAGAAGGAAGGAAAAGAGAAAGTGGAGGAATTAAGATTTTATTGATTTCTCATTAGCTAATTAATTAGTATTTAGTATAAGTTCATTGTTAACTTCAAATGATACTATTAAATTACTAGCAAACTTCTATTGCAAGATTTAAATATTTCTTACCTCTTCTCTCTGTCACTAATTTCTCTTTTCAATTTCAAACTAATAAATGAAAATTTACTTTGGCAGAAATATTACTTAGTTTTAGTTGATCTTTTTAAAAAATATATTTCTCACAAACTAATTTCATTATCTTTACTGCTGTGTAATTTTAGTATGGAAAAAATTCAAAAAATGTTTTTTTTAATTTTTTTTTAAATTTTAAATTTATTTAAAATTTATTAGTAATGAAATTTTGAAGTTTTAGAGAGATAAACTAAACAACGAAGAGAATAATAATTGTATGTTTTTTCAGCACAAAAAAAAAACTGCTAGCACACTTTTTCTTGGTCAATGACATACGAAAACTGAAATATTTAGCAGAAAATGAAAGAAGAATGAAATGAAGAAGAAATGGAAAAAGGAATTGGTATTTCAGGAACCGGAATAAAGAAAAGAGTGGGAAGTTCTACCTGAAGAATGACACGGCTGCTCTACAAGATGATAGAAAAACTTGAGGTGCTACTGGTAGCACCAATAGAGGTAAGCGTTGAGGGATCAATCTTAGTGCAACGCGAGAAATCAACCAACTTCAATGCAACCCGAGAAATCAACCAGCCGAGAAATCAAGATTAATCTCAATGCAACTCGAGAAATCAAGATTAATCTCAGTGCAACGCGAGAAATCAACCAACTTCAATGCCACCTGAGAAATCAACCAACCTCAACGCAACTCGAAATCAACCAACCTCAATGCAAGCCGAGAAATCAAGATTAATCTCAATGCAACTCGAGAAATCAAGATTAATCTCAGTGCAACGCGAGAAACCAACCAACTTCAATGCAACCCGAGAAATCAACCAACCTCAACGCAACCCGAAATCAACCAACTTCAATGCAACCCGAGAATTCAACCAACCTCAACGCAACCCGAAATCAACCAACCTCAATGCAACCCGAGAAATCGTCCTGTAAATGTTACCTTATTTCATGAGAAAGAAATTAAAAACAAGTAACAAATTTTATTCGTTGCATGAAATGGACAAATTTGAATAAATCGAAATTTATTTTGGAATATTAAAGATAATCAGAATCTCTGTTCCATCCATTCATGCAACAATGATTGCAACGATGCTAGAAGTATTTCACGTTGAGAATGCTTGGGGACAATTGCGAAGACAGTTGGAAGTATCGTTGGGAAGCAGCCGTACAGCATCATTTCGAGAGAAATATCAGTATCGAGAAACTTTATAATATTGAAAACGACCATGTTTCTGCAGTGTTGCGATCAAATGTAGTATTGCGGTCAAATGCAACGTTGCGATCAAATGTATTATTGCGGTCAAATGCAACGTTGCGATCAAATGTATTATTGCGGTCAAATGCAACGTTGCGATCAAATGTAGTATTGCGGTCAAATGCAACGTTGCGATCAAATGCAACGTTGCGATCAAATGTAGTATTGCGATCAAATGCAATATTACGATCAGGTGCAGTGTTGTGACCAAATGCAATATTACGACGAAATGGAATATTACGATCAAATGCAGCGTTGCGATCAAATGCAATATTACGATCAATTGCGATATTACGATCAAATACAGCGTTGCGATCAAATGCAGTACTATGACTATTGCGATCAAATACAGCGTTGCGATCAAATGCAGTATTATGACTATTGCAATCAAATACAGCGTTGCGATCAAATGCAGTACTATGACTATTGCGATCAAATACAGCGTTGCGATCAAATGCAGTACTATGACTATTGCGATCAAATACAGCGTTGCGATCAAATGCAGTACTATGACTATTGCGATCAAATACAGCGTTGCGATCAAATGCAGTATTATGACTATTACGATCAAATGCAGCGTTGTGATCAAATGCAATATTACGACCAAATGCAGCGTTGCGACCAAATGCAATATTACGATCAATTGCGATATTACGATCAAATGCAGCGTTGCGATCAAATGCAGTATTATGACTATTACGATCAAATGCAGCGTTGTGATCAAATGCAATATTACGACCAAATGCAGCGTTGCGACCAAATGCACGATCAAGTGCAGCGTTGCGACCAAATGCACGATCAAGTGCAGTGTTGCGACCAAATGCACGATCAAGTGCAGTGTTGCGACCGAATGCAGTGTTGGGCCAAATGCAATATTAAGATCAAATGCAGTGTCGCGATCAAATGCAATATTACGACCAAATGCAGTGTAAAGACCAAATGCAGTGTTGGGCCAAATGCAATATTACGATCAAATACAGTGTTACGATCAAATGCAATATTACGTTCAAATGCAGTGTTGCGACCAAACGCAGTGTTGCGATCAAATGCAGTGTTGCGATTAAATGCAGTGTTGCGACCAAATGAAGTGTTGCGATCAAATGCAGTGTTGCGACCAAATGTAGTGTTGCGATCAAAGTTTACTTTCACTTTAACCAATGAAATCAACTAAGAAACTTCTTCGCAAGCAGTATTTTTCTATTTTCTGTGCCATATTTGCTACAAGCAATTTGAAAGGCTAAAACAATGGGCGCATTCATACTTCTAAGAAATACAATAATGACTATAAGCGCTTCGCCACGGAATTTTCAATTAATTTTTTATGAAACTTACCTATAAATTGGCTGACTCATTAATAATACATTTCTAAGCTTTTACTTGTAGGCTTGCAGTGACCATAACTTCTGGCTGCTATCCACATTTATAGGCCGTGGAATTTTATATTTTTGATTGATGCCTGAAGAATTTTTATAGTTTCATTTTAAGGAAGTAATTTTTGCCGAATTCATGAAACGAAATTTGAAAATAAATTAGGATAAGATATATGTACAGAAAGACGATTTTATAGCTTTTAAAATCAGTGAATCTTAATTTTTAGCATTTTTAAATTGATATCTGTTAATGAAAATAATTGAATTTTAAAAATGCCCTAAGGATTAGAAGAATTTGTGCATCTTTGGAAAACTTATTTACACTCTAATGTCTGCCATGTTGATAGCATTGTGCTCACAAGTTGACAATTTGTGAAGGAAAGTTTTTTATTTCACTTTGAATTCAGCTGTTCACTCTTATTTCTTGATTTCAGTAGCTCTGCTCGGACAAATAATATTTCTTGGAAAGAATAGTTGCTTACTGTTTATAGTTGTTTATTGTTTATGGTTGCTTACTGTTTATTGCTGTTTACTGTTTATAGTTGCTTACTGTTTATAGTTGTCTATTGTTTATGGTTGCTTATTGTTTATTGCTGTTTACTGTTTATAGTTGTTTATTGTTTATGGTTGCTTATTATTTATTGTCGCTTGTTGTTTCTGGTTACTTATTGCTTATAGTTACTTATTGTTTATAGTTGCTTACTTTTATGATTGCTTATTGTTCATGCATAAATTTTACCTAATTTGATTAACTGCGTGCTTCTTATATTAATTAGTCACATAATTCATATACAATTTTAGTTTCATTAGTGTATGCAGAAATGGCAATTTTCTTCTGTAATATCAGTAATTCTATATAAAAATTCATATTAGAACTAATGAAATCATAATAATAGTAATTAATAATAATGGTAAATAATAATAGTAGTAATAATAATAATAATAATAATAATAATAATAATAATAATAATAATAATAATAAATGTCCACAAATGTTGACAAATTCGGTGCTATTCATCATCCCATATCAAGCAGAGTCCTTCTTTGTTATCATTATTATCAGTTATCAGCTACTAATCACTGATTACTGATTTGAATGCAAAAACGTATCGATGCAATTCTTCAGGAAAATTAACCACCAGCAGAATTAAAGATTGTAATGCTGCAAACAACCTGCACCTGCAGAAATCGACGAAATAGAAATGGAAAGAGAGAGAGGGAGAGAGAGAGAGAGAGAGAAAGGATGTGGAGATAAGGGAAGCAATGATTGTGACGAGGAAAGGATTGAATAGTTAATGAGTTTAGTTGGGAGATTGAGGTAAGGGTTAGTTTCGTTTACGTAAGAGACGGGAAGGAGTACGTAATGTTGTTACGTCCGTTACGTGAACACATCTGTTGAAAAGTGTTAGTTTTTTAATGAAAAAAAAATGTTAATACTAAATATTTTCAATCCATTTACACTCTTTAAAGCATCGTACAAAAAGTACTATGAAATGAATTTATTTACTTTCTTCTATTCAAATATTGCATTTAAATATTGAATGAGGTTTGATTTAAATTCACTAAAAGATATTTATGTTTACGTTGAAAGTTACGTGAAATACGATGCGTGCTGTGTACGTTCAACTTTTGCAACGAGTATAATTTGTAATGTTGAACGAAATGAATTTTGACAATAATTTTTTTTTTCTTTTTCTACTGATATTATTTTTGTTGTTTGTTTGTTTTTTGTTGTTTGTTCGTTAACAAGAAAGTTTTGTTTACTTCAAAAAGGCATTTAATGTATGACATATGTTTCGAAAAGCGTATAAGTTAATTCTATTTTAAAGTATTTTGAAGTAGTGATGATTTAAGGATGTCGCTTGGACGGGTATCCAGTCCGAGTGGTGTCAGTGAAGCAAGTCAGTCTTCATCATATTCAACCAACCAACAGGCAAGTTTCTTCTTTTTTACTAATAAGAATTTGGAATGAAATTCATTTTCTTCCTTGAGGATGACTCATCAAAGTTAAGTAGTAAAGTTGGAGTATTCTGATAAACTAGTATTCGTCATAGCAACGAAAATTCATTAAATGCAAATAGTCTGCTATAATTAACAGTAGTATGATCGGTGCATTCATGAAAACGACACTTTAATCGTTGTCCTATTTTATTACTGGTTCTTGGCTTGCTTCAAGTAGAGCATTGATTTGTTTATCAATAATCGTTTCAGAGAAGTAGGAAATCGATGAAACTATCAGCTTCACTTCGAAGTCCACCAAGGATACCTTTTAAGCATCTCACTACTGTTTATGTTAGTTAAATTTTAGATTTTTGACATACAACTATTGATAAAGTCTTTTTGTACTTTATTCAATTAACCAATTCGAATATGACTATTGATAAAGTCTGTTTATACTTTGTTCAATTAATCAATTCGATTATGACTATTGATAAAGTCTTTTTGTACTTTATTCAATTAACCAATTCGACATAACCATATGCCACATGTAATTGTTCTCTGTACATCTGATTGAATATGAAACTGAACAAGATATTTCATATCTTTTTCCCTGTTTTAAAAATAAGTTATGTTTTAGTCTTGAAGAATCGTTTTCATTTAATCATTTTTATTTATTCTAAAATAATATCCGTGAGGAGTTATTTGTTCAAAAATTTTCAGGAAGAAAAATTTTTTATTTTTCACAAATCACTTTTTCTCATTGTGGTAAGCGATAATTTTCAGATAATTTATGAAAAATTACATTCCTTAGAAAAAAAGATCGAATTCAAATCGCAATTTGGTATTCCAGGAAGGACATAAGAAGACAATATATGGTGTTGCATTTAGTCCGTATCTTATTTCTAATCCACATTTTGCGACTGTTGGAGAAAATCGAGTGAGGTTTTTTTTTTTTTTTTTTTTTGTTTTCCTTTGTTGAAAAAGCAATTTTTTTTTGGAGAAGCAGTAAAAGTAATTGACTTTCTAAAATTTTATTTGTTTTTCAAAATAAATCATTGTTATTTAATATGTCAGCAGATTATTTTGATTTTCTTTAAACCTCGTTTTTTTATCATGTGATTGTGATTTATGTTCTGGACTTGACAGATTTGTTTTTCGGATATTTTGGTAGAAATAATAGACGAACAAATGTAATTCTTTAATATGAAATTAATGTAGATTTCTTTTTCTTAATTGATCTTACAGTTGATTGACTTCTCAGTGCTTTACGGACAGAAATAAACGTATTAAAAAGCTTATTATATTATATGCGACTGTTGGTCATTGATGAAAAATTGTTATGGTCCAGGTAAATTATGCATGCGATCAAAAATTATTTTTCATTAGTCTTCTACCCATTTAATTAAGTTAGTTAAAATTATAGATATCGATATATGCAGTCATGAAAGATGGAAATGGAGTAAAGTTATTGAGAAGTTTCCACGATTCAGCGGTGAGGAAAAATATCTTTTACATTTAATTAAGTATTGATAGTAAGTGTTTTGCTTACATTTTATTTAAAAAGTTTGAATTTCTCATTGTTAAACTTGGCTTCTTTTTTTCAGAAAACTGAATGGTTTTTCACCGTCTGTTGGGCATATGATACTGAAAATGATGTACATGTCGTGATTGCTGGTGGAAATCGAGGTATTATACGAGTAATAGATGTCGTCACGGGTGATCTTGTTAATGTTCGTCTGTTTATTTCTTTTGAAACTATGTTTCTAAAGAATTTTAGCATGTAATATAACAACAAATCATTGTTATATGTGGTCATTGTTTTCGAATTAATTACACATTTCATAAACAACATTTAAAATCATTTCAGAGTTTGATAGGACATGGTGATGCTATAAATGATGTTCGTGTTTTTCCAAATGACTCCATGATTATTGCTTCAGCTAGCAAAGATTTCACAGCTAGGATATGGAATATTCACAACAGTGCTTGTTTAGCTATTCTTGGAGGAGTTGAGGGCCATTTGGATCAAGTTATATCAGTAGTAAGCTTAGAGTAAATAATTTTCTAGCACTTTTCATCTCAAAGTTTACCACAATCATTTGTAATTTCAGTACTCTTTTAAAGCAAATGTGACACTGTTATTTGTTTCGTAGGAGTTATACATTAACTGTTAATTCATATCTTTATAATGGTTTATTATTTCTCACATAAAATGTGAGAATTTAATTTAATCTTTGTTTTTAGGATTTTGATGCTGAGAGTGAGTATTTGGCATCGGCAAGCATGGATCATACAGTTAAGTTGTGGTACGTAGGAAAGGGAAGTGGTGTTGATCGACTAGTTGAACAGTCTAAAGCTGATCTCAGAGTAAGTAATTTCTTGCATCATTTTTTTGTAAATACATTGAATAGAATTGCTAAGCGAATGAATTATTAGGCGATTAAAAAATCCATTTAAAAAAAAAAAAAGTTGGCGTAACCAGGAGCCATTATTAATAAAAAAAAAAAAAAATTATTGCATATTATGTATTATTAATGTTTTTTTTTTTTTTTTTTAAATGGTTAATTTAATTACTTAACTTGTCTCCAAATGTTTGCATGTCATTTATTATTTGAAAAAAAAAAGAATTCTCGTACTGCAGTTTTAGCTTTTATTTATAAGTGTTTATTGTTTGTAATTTATAAATTAGTTAAAAATATCTTTCTGATGTTACCGAGAATATTTTGCAGCTGGTTGATTTTCCAGCCGAAATACATTATCCTCGTTGTAGCACTCGTGATGTACATACCAATTATGTTGATTGTGTTCGTATTTTTCATAGGCTTATATTTTCCAAAGTAAGTAAACTGTTTTCATTTTT